TCGTTAATGGTGTTAGTTCCTAATAACCCAGGTGATCTGAGGTTAGGTGATCAAGAACAAAATCACAGGCAACCAGATCCAGATTTACCAGTTAATCGAAGAAATACTAGTGGCGGCTTGTTTGAGTTGATGGCAAACAATATCATCATAACATGTGCTCTATTCGGTCTTTTAACTTGTTGGACATGCTCCTTAGTTCAATCATTAAATTCACCACCACCAGATTCCGTTTCAACCACCATAAATAGAGCAATTTATTGCAATTATGCAAATACCTTATTGAAAGGAATAAAGAACAAAGATATAGACGCTTTCAATAGGAATGCAACAGCTGGGATTAGTCCAGAAACACTAGAAATAATAGTTCCTTTGAATGCAATACCTATGGCAATGTGCTCAACTCCAGATAATGAAGATCATGAAATACTCAACTATAGCTATGAAAATGAAAAAGATGCTTATACAGATCAAGTTAAATTAGATGAAACATTAAAAGACCTGGCTAAGAAGCTAAATATCAGGATAGATTTGTCTGAAGAAAGTTTATTCAGTGGATTTAACAGCAAAATTGTCAAAAAATTAAAACAATCATTTGTTATTAAAGTTTACTTGTTATTTTTATTAATCATTGTTAGCAGCATTATCTTTGAAATCATTTATGATTTTATGAACTGGGAATTTTACCGACTTCAGTATCTTTTTCTATCTTTAATTGTTTTATTTTGCATGACACTGGTTTTATTTTTTATTTAACTTTTTTTAATTCCAACACTATAAAGCTGCTGGATAAATCTGATCTATTTAACTCCATAAGTAGCTAGATATATATTATAATATAACTATTAATCTATCAATCAAAGTGTATAACTAATTTTACTACTCTTAGAATAAATAACTCTAATTCTTTCTTCATGAATTAATACTATACACGAATGCAAAATCCTAGTAAATAACAACTATGACGAATTGTAAAAAACTAAATGCTGTCCCTTTTGATAATACTTTTACACTTTTTAAATATTAAAACCCAAATGGATTATCAGCACTTGCATTAGCAAGATTAGCTCTTTTACCTGTAGCTTGAGCTCCTAAAGGTTGTTGTTGTTGTCCAAATCCTCCACTATTACCAAACCCAAATCCAGTAGGTTGTGATTCTAATGGCTGTAAAGGTTGTGATTGTTGTTGGAATCCACCAAACGAAGTTGTTGGTTGCTGTTGTTGGAACCCACCGAATGAAGGTTGAGGTTGTGGTTGTTGTGGTGGGAATCCACCAAATGAAGGTTGTGGTTGTGGTTGAGGTTGACCAAATGGTGATGGATTTTGTAATGAAGTATTTTGGAAACTATTGGTCATTTGATTCAATTGTTGATTGAATGGCTGTTGACCAAATGGTTGTTGAGCACCAAATTGTGGTTGACCAAATCCAGTTTGTTGTCTGTTAAAAGTTGGTGGACTTGATAAACTATTGAATCCACTTGGTTGTGCTTGATTGAATGATGGTTGACCAAATCCTGTTTGTTGTGTATTGAATCCACCTGTTGGTTGACTGAAAGGTGTAGTAAATCCTGTTGATGGTTGCGATTGGAATCCTCCAGTTGGTTGGAAATTGTTTAATCCACCAGTTGGTTGGAAGTTGTTTAATCCACCAGTTGGTTGGAAATTATTCAAACCACCAGTTGGTTGTGATTGGAATCCACCACTTGGTTGAAATTGATTTAACCCACCAGTTGGTTGTGAGCTAAATGAAGTATTAGGTAATTGACCAAATGAAGTGTTTGGAATTGAGCCAAAATTTGGAGTTTGACCAAATGAAGTAGTTGGAGGTAATGAACTTCCAATACCACCAACACCAGTACCAAATTGTGGTAATCCACCTAAAGGACCAGTTTTTTGTAAAGGTAAAGCACCACCTGTGACATTTCCACCAGTTTTTTGTAATGGTAATAAGCCAGTTTGTTGTAATGGTAAGGCACCAGTTGTTTGGAATGGTAAACCACCAGTTTTTTGTAATGGAATCAAACCTGTTGGTTGTAAATTCAAAACACCAGTTTGTTGAGTTGGTAAATAAACAAAAGCACCACCTGTGGCTAATGGTAGAATATTTGCACCACCAGTTTTGAAAGGATCTAATGGAGCTAATAATTGACCTGTTGGTTGTGTTGAAATGAAATTTTCATTACCAGTTTTTTGTGTAGTAATAGTATCTGTAGAAACACCGGTGGAAGGGACTGCTTTTGTAGGTTGTAATGGTTTTGAAGGAACTGGAGCAAATGTTTGATTTGATCTTGTTGATGAAGCAGTTGCAGTTGGTGCTAAAGGTTTCAAGTTGACTAAATCTTGCATTGAACCAGTAAAATTTTGTGATAAAGATGAAGCTGGACCTTCAGTTCCATTAACAGTTTCACTATTAGCGGCTGGTTTAACAGTCCATGCATCATCATCAGTATTTGCAGTAGCTGGAGCAGCAGAACCAGTTGGTGCTGGTAATGTATTACCAACACTTGTAGCAGAACCTGTACGATTAGCTTTCAAACCACCAGTTGGTTCGGTAAATAATCCACCTTGAGCTTGTTCAGCTTGTTTTGGTTGACGATTGAATTTTTGATCAAGATATCTATTAACTCTGATAATATCACCTTCACGTAAACCTAAAGTTCTTAAAACTGAAGAATCAATTGATTCCATAATACTCGGATCAATTTGTTCATTATTGAAATTATTTGTATATCTTTGACATTGGTTAACATCAACACCAGCTTCTAGGAAGAATTCAAACCAATCATAATCTTCTTTTGGTGCACTTGCTGCTGTTCTTTGTTTTGATGCACTTGCAGATCTTGAAGTTGAACCAGGTCTTGCAGGTTGTGGAGGTGGAGCAGCAGCAGAAATTTCACCAGTTTTAGCAGCTTTTAATTCTTGACGTAAGCGATCTCTTTCTTCTCTTTCTAATTCTCTTTCTCTTCTATCTCTTTCACGCTCAGCACGATCACGTTCACGATCTTCTCTTTCACGTCTTCTACGCTCACGTTCTCTTCTTTCACGTCTTTCTCTATCTGGATCATTGGCACTAACAACACCTGCACCTGATGAAGATTTCTTGTTATTACCTTTATATTGCTCTAATGACATACCAGTAACTTTTTCAACATATTCCAAATCTGTTATTGAAAGTTTTGTTGCAGCAACTGCAATTTTAACACCATTAGTTTTATGTAAATGAATTTTACCTTCAACAACACCTAAAAATTCAGCATCAACTTTGAAAGTACCAGAAGCATCTTCCCAAGTTCTAATTCTTGAAGCTTTTGGGCCTTGTAATTTCTTTTGTTGATGTTGTTCTCTCTTGGAAGGAGATGTAGTTGATAAATTTTCTTTTGATTTTGATCTTTTGAATTTACTAGTCAGAGATGATAATCCAGATTCTTGTTGATCAGGTTGAACAAATTGAGCTGGTACAACACCATTTCTTCCGCTATTTATCAATTCAACCATCCACCAATCTTTTGATTTCTTATCGTTAATAATATAAACATTATCGCCTTCATGGACTGTTAATTCATCATCACCTTGGGCTTCAAAATCATAAAGGATTTTACCAGTTTTCTTAGCATATGGTAATGATTTAGATGATGGTTTTGATGAAGCAGCAGCTTGAATTTCCTTTAAACCACCTGAAGTGAATGAACCTTTTAATTCACCTAAAATTGATAAAATTTCAGCGGCAACTTCCTTGGTCCCAGAATGGATTTCTAATGAATATAATGGATTTTTGAACTCCATAAAGACATGTTTCTTTTCAGAACTGAATGATAATAAATCTTTAGCCTTCCATTGATGTGGTGTACCATTATTTGAATCTGGTGAAAAATAAATTGTACTGTTTCCAATGGCTAACATTGCTTTCTTCTTTTTACGTCCATCAACTTCAGAAATGGCCCAAGTATATAACTGATCATCTCCATCCTCGTCTTCTGGTTGAGCAGCTGGTGGAGGTGGTAATGATGTATTTGAATTTGAAGGTCTACTTGGTTTTGGTGGAGGTGCAGATTCTTCTTCATCACTATAATCATCATAACTTTTATCACGAGAATGTTGAGATTGTGATTGTGCTTGAGGTGGTGGAGCATATGAGCTTGTACTTGGTTGTTTAGGCGGTTGTTGTGGTTCAACAGCTTTTGGACTATCATATCTTTGTGGAGGTGGTTGGAAACTTGAAATTGGTTGTTGAGGTTGTTGAGGTGGAGCTTGGTGTTGATCTTGAGCTGGATGAGATGGTGGAGGAGCAACAGCACTAGTGGAAGCACCACCAAGGCTCATCTCTATATAATTTGAAGGAACAAACCCAAATTCTTGGTTATTTTTATTTACCAATATCCAATCTGGATCTTTATCATCATAAACTTGAAACTTATCACCTTCTTTGAAAGTCAACTCCTCTTCAGTTTGTCTATCATAATCAAAAAGAGCACTAGCACTTCCAATGAAATCTGCTGGTTCAATATAGTTTGATGGAACTAACCCAACTGGTTCTTCAGCATCAGCACCTACGACTCTTTTCTTGACAGTCCACCAATCGTCCACGTCTGATGTTTCCAAAAGATATAGGATATCATTTTCATCAATGGCCAACTCCTCGGCTGACTGAGGAGCATAGGCATACAATGCCTTGTAAACACCTAAAAAGGACATCTTTTACCCTGTGAAACTTTGATAATATCTGTTCTTTACTAGCGATTGCTCTGATACTCTTAGGGGTTTCTGTTCATTCTCCTTTGACGAAAACCGCAGATTTCGCTGATTTCAAGTTTCGCGGGAAGCTTCACAATTCCGATCTTTATCAGTCGGATTTCCTCCAATTTATAAATTTATTTTATGGCGTTTTCGTGAATGTAAACAAAACAAACGAATAAAGTATCAATCTATTATAGGAACCGTGTTGAAAGTTCCAATTATTCATAGAGGAATGTCTGATCAGCTACTTCCACCATTGGACAAGATAAGCTCCACTATTGAGTCTTCCAAGGATCAAACTGCATTGACACCAAGAGAACGTAATGAAGCGTTACAACATGAATTACAACAACTTGAACAAATAAACTCCACAATTGATGGTGTATTGGGATCATTCCATAAAGCTTCATCAGATTTGGATAAGGTTTTACATGCTACAGAATCAACTGATAAATTGCTAGATATCTGGATTAGAATATTATCACAAACTTCATATACAACCAAGTTATTAAGTGATAAAAATTGGAAAGGTACAACTCGTCATGAAGAAGAATATGCTAATAAAAAACGTAAATTTGATGAACTGAATCAAAGATTCCAAGCTGAAAAGCAAAGAAAAGAACAAGAAAGAGAACAACAGCTCAATAGAAAACTAGAACAGCAAAGAAGAATAAAAGAAAGAGAAGAATCACTGAAAAGAAGAGTATATGGAACATCAGGCTCTATTAGGCGTTCAACAAGAGGTTCTTCAACATCCGCAGCTAGGAGAGGTACAACATCTGCTACTAGAGGTTCCAGAGGTGCTAATGGTAGAACTCCAGCTAGAAGATAGAAACGCTGTCATATGGTTTTAATATGTGAGTTGATAATGGATTCTAAATCATAGCATCATTCAATCTGTACATACATTTCAGTTTAAGTTAGCTTGGGCTATAAAGAACTAACCCCCAAGAAACATTGATAATATCTTGTTGAGGAGATGGATTATACCAGAGGATATTGGAAGGACTTTAGAACTTCAAGACTCATAAGATACCTAATCATATTTTTAATGGTATGAGTTCTCTTAGAATGTTCTAGATTATAGCTGTTGATCTACAACTATGATCATGTGTATAGAAACGATCTTCAACTAATGACCCTATACAATACATATAGATTTCATGAATATACAAAAATGTGGATGCTCAGTAATCATCATACAACTATCAGTTTGGTTTAATGTGTTATATAATATATAAATTACTCATTTATTGTAAGCTCTGCTTCGCAGTATATAAAGTTTGATAATTATTAAAAGCGTATATTACTGCTCAACTTAGCTCCCATAATGTTGCAGTGTGACAGTGTGACGTATATCTCATGTTCATCATGTTCATCACGGTTAATAACGGTTAAATGAGGGATCAAGAGTCAAGGGTTATCAACTTATCAACTATATACATACATAGATACATAGTACCATAACATCGTATCCCCCATGTTCAGCACGCTTAATAACGGTTAAATCAGGAATCTTTTATATCAGATCAGCACCATCCATACTATAAAGTTTGAGTATCACATTAATAATCAGCATTGTACCAAATAATTATATTCTCAATTTCCATTTCCGTAGTTAACTCCATATATTTTATCTTTTTGATCGTGCGTATCCCCAATTTGGTGAAAAAAAAGTCGCGAATATGACTCGAAGATATCAATTTCAAAATGCCGTCTTGATCTTTTGATAAAGTATTTAAATAGTAGAAAAGTACAAAGAATCAACCATTTCTAGTACATCCGCTGTGTTTGAATCCCCATATAATATCCACAGAATCACATCACAATGGCTGGTCCAAAAGATCTCACTCACTTATTATCAGAAGAAGCTTTAGCTCGTCGTCCTTCTCCATTGAAAACTGCTTTCAAATACTTTGCAGACCCAAACGTTGTCTTCTTGGGTGGTGGTTTACCTTTAGCTGATTATTTCCCATGGAACAAGATCACTGCTGAATCCCCAAATCCTCCTTTTAGAAATGGTATTGCCGCTGTTCCACAATCTGTTGAAGAAGCTACCCAAACCGTTTTAGCCAAACATTCATCAGATAACGGTCATCATCAAGATATCCCATTATCTCGTTCTTTACAATATGGTTTCACTGAAGGTCAGGCTGAATTACTTGATTTCATCAAAGAACATACCAAATTAGTCCATAATGTTCCCTACGAAGGATGGGACATCATCACCAGTATTGGTAACACTCAATCTTGGGATGCCACATTAAGAACATTTACTTCAAAAGGTGATACCATCTTGGTTGAAGAATTCAGTTTCAGTTCAGCTTTAGAAACTGCCAATGCTCTTGGTGTTACTCAATTCCCAGTTCCAATGGATGATTTTGGTATCATTCCAGAAAAATTAGAAGATGTTTTAACTAATTGGGTTGGTCCAAAACCAAAATTGTTGTACACCATTGCTACAGGTCAAAATCCAACTGGTTCATCATTAAGTTCTGAAAGAAGAGCTGCTATTTACAAATTGGCTCAAGAACATGATTTCATCATTGTTGAAGATGAACCATACTATTATTTACAAATGGATACTTATACCACTGATAAATCCGCTAGAGAAGGTAAAGCTGTCCACACCCATAAAGAATTTTTGAATGCTTTAGTCACTTCATTCATCTCATTAGATGTTGATGGTAGAGTTATTAGATTAGACTCTTTCTCAAAAGTTTTAGCTCCAGGTTCTCGTGTTGGTTGGATTGTCGGTCAAAAACCAATCTTAGAAAGATATATTAGATTACATGAAGTTTCAATGCAAACACCAAGTGGGTTTGCTCAAAGTATCATCAATGGTACTTTACAAAGATGGGGTCAAGATGGTTATTTAGATTGGTTAATCGGTTTACGTCAAGAATATACTCATAAAAGAGATGTTGCAATTGATGCTGTTAGTGCACATTTCCCAAAAGAAGTTTCACATTACATTGCTCCAGTTGCTGGTATGTTCTTTACTGTTCAATTTGATGCTTCTAAACATCCAAAATTTGAAGAATTTGGTAAAGATCCATTAAAAGTTGAAAATGCCTTATATGAAGAAGGTTTACAAGAGGGTGCTTTATTAATTCCGGGTTCTTGGTTCAAGGCTCAAGGTCAAACTAACCCACCTCAAAAGGAACAAACTGTTCCTGGTAGTGAAAACACAATCTTTTTCAGAGGTACCTATGCGGCTGTTCCATTGGATAAATTGGTTGTCGGTATTGAAAGATTCGGTAAAGCTGTTACTAAATCCTTCGGTTTGAACTAAATTCCTAAAATTATTAATATTTAAAAATTGCTATAAAAACAACTATAGAATTGTATAACTATTTATATAAAATATATTGAATTTATAATTTTGAATGTTGTGTCTAAATTAATTGAAATCTTTAGTTTTGTTAATTATTTGTATGTGGTTTGAAGCCCTTGTGTCCTTCTCGAAAATAATCATCATTATTTACATTTATATCATCAAAGCTTTAGATTTTGAACAGAACAATACGTTTATAAACCTCGATACAAAGCTCATTCGTTTGAGTCTTCATACTTTTACAATGCATATATTGAAACTTCCATGGCTCTGTCATGAAGGTAAGTACGCTTAAAAGTCTTGAAGAAATACATTAAAATACTAACAATTGAAAATTAAGAGGAACACCGAAAACATGAAGTTTATTCATTAACAATAAGTCCCGATGGTTCAAGACTAGCATCAGGTGGGTTAGATGGTAAAGTTAGAATATGGTCAGTTGCAGATATATTAAGATTCAAGAATCCAAACCAAGAAAAAGATGAATCATGTAAACCATTATGTAGTATGAGTCGTCATACAGGTGCAGTTACTGTTGTTAAATTTTCTCCAGATGGTAGATTCTTAGCTTCAGGTTCTGATGATAAAGTTTTGTTAATTTGGGAAAAAGATGAAGAAAGTAGACCTGTCTTTGGTGAAGCTGAAAATGCAGAACATTGGACTGTTACCAAGAGAGTAGTTGCACATGAAAATGATATCCAAGATATGGCATGGGCTCCAGATTCAAGTATTTTAGTTACTGTTGGGTTAGATAGATCAATTATTATTTGGAATGGTACTACATTTGAAAGAATTAAAAGATTTGATGTTCATTCATCTTTGGTTAAAGGTGTTGTTTTCGATCCAGCAAATAAATATTTTGCAACAAGTTCAGATGATCGTTCAGTAAGAATTTTTAGATATCACAAAGGTTCAGAAATTTCCTTTTCAATTGAAAAAAATGTTTTACAACCATTTAAGAAATCTCCTTTGACAACTTACTTCAGAAGATTATCTTGGTCCCCTGATGGTCAACATATAGCTGCACCAAATGCAACAAATGGTCCAGTCACCTCAACTGCAATTATAAATAGAGGTACATGGGATTCAGATATAAGTTTAATTGGTCATGATAGTCCCTGTGAAGTTGCATGTTTTTCACCGGTACTATATCAAACAAAAATTAACAAAGAAATGAAAGTTTGTTCAACATTAGCCACAGGTGGTCAAGATAAAACCTTGGTTATTTGGAATACAGCATCAGCATCTCCAGTTGTTGTATTGGAAGATATTTTTTACAAGACTATAACAGATTTATGTTGGACTCCAAATGGTGATACATTATTTGCATCTTCATTAGATGGCACTATTGGAGTTGTATGTTTTGAAAAGGAAGAATTAGGTCAATTTGTACCAACTGAAAAAACAGACGAGATTTTGAATAGATATGGTGTTGATAAAGAAAGTACCGTTTTTGCAGAAAGTACAAATCAATTAATCCTTGAAGAGAAAGCTCAAGAATATCAAAAAACTTTATCTGATAAACATATGGATCGTCTATTAAGTATTGAACAGCCAACTTCACATAAATCACCTTCACCTGCTCCCCCTCCCCCGCCACCATCGCTATCTGCACCACCTCCAGCCATACCGAAGCCTCCTTCTATACCGTCAACATCAACCACTCCACAACCCACTGCTTCCAAACCAGATTCCAAATTGAATAAAGCTGTTATTAAGAATGGTAAGAAAAGAGTTGCACCAACATTAATCTCCTCATCGGCAGCACCATCATCATCTTCATCAAACGGTACAACTAACAAATTCAAAAACATTACAGTAACAGCTAAAAAAATCAAAGAAGATAAAACTAGAGATACATTGTTATCTAAAACTCCATATTCATTACCAAAATTTGGTGTTCATACTTCTGTTCATGGTTATTATGTTAAGAGAACAGTTGCAGAAGAGGAGGAAGAAGAAGAAGAAGGTGATGAAATTGATGAAGAATATGAAGAAGAGGATGATGAAGATGAAGATGAATTTTTATTCACCGCTAAAAAACGTAAATTAACTAAAGATGAACAACCTATATTACCATTAAAACCAAGTTATGATTCTACTTTATTGGTTTATAAAAGACTTGATGATGGGAAAGATCGTGCTATATTAGAAGTTGAAAATTATGAAGAACCTGAAGATGAAGATCCTTCAATAGTTATTGCTAAATTAAATGGTGAATTATCATTTGAAACTTTTTTACGTGATCGAGTATTAGCTATTACAGGTGAATTACATAAATATTGGATCTTGGCTACTGAAAGTTGTGCTATATTGATTTATTCATTTACGGGAAGATTATTATATCCAAGGATTGAGTTGGGGTTTAACGTGGGGTATATGACATGTAAAGATGATATTCTAATGATACTCACAGAAGACTATATGATTCATAGTTTTAATTTGAACACTTTTACCAAATTAACTAAAAAAATTTCATTAGCACCTATATTAAATTATGAATATCAAGTTAAAGATAAGAAAACATATATTCAATCTAAATTAGCAGATTTAGAATTGAAAAATGGTCAAATATTGGCATATTTAAAAACAAATGAAACTTATTTATATAACAATGATTTGAAAATATGGACCAAAATTATTGATAATTTCCATCATAAATTTAATAAATATGATTATATATGGGTTGATAGATTTAAACCTCCATATATTACACAAGATTTTAATGACTATAATAATGACTTAATTAATAATGAAACAAAACAAAATGAATTTGAATATATCAATAAATTAACTTTTTTAGAAGGTTATAAAGATGTATTAGCCCAACTTGGTGAAAATGATGGTGTTGATAAATTAGATAAGGATTTGGAAACCCATAAACAAAATGAACTATATAAATATGTTAGAACATAAGAGCAAATGAATAAATCACAATATTGGATCTATTTCTTTAATAATTGTTGTAAATTTTTGGCAGGATTAGCAACTGAGTTTGTATTTTTATCACATATAAAACAATTTGGATTCTTTTTACATCTTTTCAAGAAACATGATTCACAAAAATAATGATTACAATTTGTCCTTATTGGAGATTTATAATCTTTTTTACAAATTGGGCATTTAAACGGAATATCACTCATTTCTTTCTCTATCTTGGCTTCTTGTTCTTTAGATTCTAAGTCCCATTCCTTATTTAACTTCCAACCTGCTTTAAAATCATCTCTTGCATGTAAAAACTTACAACTATCACCATACCCACAAAACCCAGTTTGTTTATAATCTTTACAAACATCTCTTTGGAAATCAAAAACAGTTGTACTCCTTATATTAGCACTTGTCTTTTTGGGGCCTATTTTATCCATAGCTTGACCAGTTGTAGGTTTGATAAATGTAGCATAATTTGATTGACCTTTATATAAACCATCGTCTTTATCATCACCATGATCTTGATTTTTCATAGATTTTCGTACACGATCTTTATCTATGAGTTCCTGGTTTAAAGCATCAACTTTTGTGATTTCATTATTCTGTGTTAGTTGTTTATCCTTATCATCCTCATTAATATTACCGTTAGACTCTTTCTTAGTAATACTATTGTCTATATTAGAGTCCGATTTCTTCACTTTCTTCAGCACAACTCCTTCATCTTCACTGTCAGAGCTACCGGAACTGTCTCTCCGTACCACCTTCTGTCTCACAGCACCTTTCACGTTTCTCTTCTTGAACATTTTGTGCTTCAACTCTTAATGACTTGACCATCGTTTTGAAATAAATCAAATTGAAATCAATTGTACTTTAAAAGTTTATATGAGATTATCCATTTCCGACTAAATTCGCCCTCGGTCCTCGCCCAGTCGCCTTCAATTTGATTTAAATATAAACGAAGATCGCATTGACAGCTCAAAATCAAGTCAAAATCAACCAATTGAACAACCAAAGTACTGCTAAATAACTAATTGAACAATGTCTGCTGGGAGCCACGCAGTTCCGGAGGATGTCGAGACAAGAGCCGCCTTCACAGGGAGATCCTCCACGCTGAATGAGCGTATTGGGGGCGTAACAAAGACGGAGAGTTCGCCCTTGTTGTCATCAACTCCTGTCACAGTGTCAAAAGTTTTAGTGAAATCATATCCATACTTCGTGATTGCTGATAAACTATTGAGTGTGCTGACATGGACCAATGAAGATACATGGTTAAGTCTGCTGGTTGTGGGTATCTATGCTACTTTGGTGCTTTATTTTGAATCAATTGTTACTTATTTCGGTCATATATTAGCTGTGGCCATCTTGGTGGCTTATTCAATATTGAGTAAACATGTTGAAACCACGTTACAATCCAAACCAACCTTAGATGATATTGTGCAATTACTTACCACTGTCACAGTTAAAGCTGATTTATTTTTCAATCCAATAACTTCATTAGCTTTAACTTCATATGATATTAAAAGATTGCTCTTCACTACAATTTTCCTTTCACCTTTATATGTTATAATAACTTATTTCATATTAACACCAAGAACTTTGTTATTATTATTAGGACTTTATTGTTTAACTTATCATTCAATTTTCTCAAGAGTTACAAGAAAAGTATTATGGAAATTTAGACTAGTAAGATTATTATCATTTTATTTAACAGGTTTAGATTTTGGTGGTATTAATATTAATAAAGATTCTGGTATCTTTGCAGCTGTTAAAAAAGTTAATGAAAGAGTTGGTATTAAGAATAAAGATGGTAAACCAATTGTTTTCACTTATGTTCTTTATGAAAATCAACGTCGTTGGTTAGGTATTGGTTGGACTCCAAATTTATTAAGTTATGAAAGAACTGCATGGACTGATGAATTTTTAAATGAATCATCACCAACTGATAAATTTGAATTACCAGAAACTGAAATTGGTTCAGGTCTTGTATGGAGATGGGTTGATAAATCATGGAGATTAGATTTAACTAATGATGGTGCATTTCAATTACCAAGTTCTAAACCAAGATCCACAGCAAATCCTGGAATTGATGATGGATTTATTTATTATGATAATACATGGAAAAAACCATCAACTGAAGATTCATTTTCCAAATATACAAGAAGAAGAAGATGGATTAGAACTGCAGAATTAGTTCCTATAAATTCCAAATCAACAACATCAACTACCACCTCAAATACATCACCAAATAATTCATCAACTACAACACCAACAAAATCAACAATACAACATGATCTTATAAATTCTAAAAAGGAACCAGTTCCAATAGCAGAAATTCAAAATGTTCAGGCATCAGGTATAACATCAGAAAATTCATCATCACAAGATGATAATAAAACTGCAAGAAAACGTAAAAGTTTAAGATTTGATGATCATCCAACAGTTTTAGAATCTGTAAAAGCTTTAGAATTGAGTAAAAAAAATAAAGAAAAAGAATTACATAAAGATCAAGATAAAGATCATCAAATTGATGAAAAAGAGAATCAAGAAGAGTTTGGAAATAGTTTAAAAGAAAAGGAAAAAGATAATTAGGTTCCATATGTATCTCATTTCCAATTTCCATAATACTTGATTATAATTGTACAATGTTAATTTATTCCTTGATTTATGATTTCATATGATTTAATAAACTTTTAATGTTTTTTATGAGTTTTCTAAAGTAGTTCATATAATCTCTCTTCATAATTACAATAATTTCTTTTACGTAAACAAATCAAATTCAAAAATCATTAACCCATTCCATTTATTAGAACCAATAAAAATTTATAAAACAATTTTTCAATATAAAATTAAATCTTCTTTTTAATTAATATTAAATTTATAATTCAGTAATTTCTAAAGTTGATGGTAAGGTTTGAACTAATTTTTTAGCTTTTTCAGCATCAGCAACAACTAAAGTGTATAAGTTTTTGGTACCTCTGATTTTGAATTTAGTTTCTTTGTAGACTTTACCGTTAGCAGCAACTTTTTGGTTTGATTTGATTGAAGCTGATTTGACATCAGCTCTTCTGCTTAATTCAACAAATTTTTTAATATCAGTAATTTCACGCTAAGTTAAACCATGTTAGTATAACCATTCAATTAGACGTCTTTCTTGAGTCCCTAGTTCTTTTCAAACATAGAGCACTTCATTCCAACGATACATACAGCCATTTTTATAGATTGAGTTATACCTAGATCTAAATCTTCTAAACCTATCAAACTGTTCACTTTGTTATTAGATTTCAGTTTTTTCAGTACAGTGTTGAAAAAAAACTGAAAATTCGCGAAATCTGTGACTTGGTGTTTGGGTTTTATAATAAATTGGGTATTTCCCAATTGGGAAACAGCGCAGTCACAAAAAAAGAATATGAGTACAATTGATTTCAATTGATTTCAATTAATTTCAATTGAATTATAGAGTCTTTGACCATTTCGGAAGTTATATAGATAAGATTGATAAGAATTACAATGTACTTATATATTCATTAATAAATCATTCATTGTTTCTTTATTTTTGGACTTTGTTGTATATGTTTTTAAATTGGTGTTCAATCACCTAGTATGCAAATTAAATATATCAAAATAAAAGGTTACAATATTGTATCAAACAACATCTTCCATTTCAACATCTTCATCATTATCTTCTTCATCATCATCTTCTTCATTTTCTTTACTTAATTCACCTAATCTTTCAGCTCTTTCTTGATCTTTTAATTCTTTAAATTCTCTCTTTAATGCATATTTTAAAGCATAAGGACCTTTTTTAATTAATTGAGCAATTTGTTCTAAAGTTTCTTTTAAATAAACTTCTGGTTGTTTTGTACGTTCTTTTAAACCTTTTAATGACCAATAATCATATTCATCAAACAGTTTGAATAATAAATCAAACAGGTCTTTTTGTGGCATACGAATTGCTCTACCTTCATTCTTGTTTTTAGTTGATGCTGAAGATTTTAAGAATTTTGAAGTATCTGTCTTTAATGTTAAACCTGCATTACTTAAAGTAACACCAGGAATTTCGTTTAATAATGTAACAGTTGGTCTTGGTTCTTCTTTGATTAAATTCTTTCTTCTTTGAATAATTTTGGAATAATTTGGATCATTAACCATTGGAGTAATTTGACATTCATGTGCAATTTTACCAATTAATGAAGTTTTCTTTGGAATTGTCTTAACAAAAGGTATCACTTTATCAGTACCATCTCTATTTTTATATCTATTAAATCTTCTACGTCTTCTTAACATTGCAGCTTCTCTTTTATCAATTGGTTTCAATTCTGGTTTTTTAGATTGAACTTCATTATCTAGCTCATTTTTTGTTACTGTACCATCTTCTTTCTTAACACCACCATTATGATTAGTATTATCATCTTCATCTTGTTTCCCATTTTGTCTTTTCAATCCATTTACATTTTGTTCATTAAAAATATATTGATTCTCCACTGTAGGTTTTGTCATATTTAATTCATAATTATGTGGGATATCTTCAAAATTTGGATCATTTTCATTCAATTGCATCTTCAGATATGGAGCTTTATTATTAACATTATTTTGTTTAATTTTAATTTTACCTAAATCTTGTCCTTGGAAATAATTATCTGATTCTTTCCATTTTTCAATTAAAAATCTTGGTAATCTAACTAGCCAAATTTTACGTTCTCCATTATCTAAATTCATATTTAGATCAATACGATTATTATCCTGTGTGATATCATTTGAATCTATAACTTCTTCATTTTCTGATACGTATTCTTCATCTGATCCTTCATTTAATTGTTGTTTTTGTAATATGGTTTGTTCTTTTGATAATTCTTGTTCTGGAGCAGCTGGTGTTTGTTCGTTTGACTTGGTTTTTTGCTTGGTAGGTTCTGTGGTCATTATGGAATATTATGTACTGGTATAAGAGGTCAATTCAATCCTTTAGTTGATGATCTGTCCCCCTTTTAACGGTTCTTTTGTTGTTGATGTTTTTGATATTTTATTGATTTTGTTCTGTTTTTATTTAATTTAAGAGTATTGGGATTTTTGTGATACGGCCACTGCGATTCAAAGAAATTTGTATAAACTAATATTTTGAAAACGTATCAAATTACTTGATTATTGGTGGGAAATAAGTGTCCAATTATCTTATAAAGCGGAAGGTTTTGTGTTGTGTTATATTATAGACTATTATTGTTCATTTTGCCGAAAAAAGATGGAGTCAAAACAGCCAGAAACCAAAGTGGAAGAGTCCAAAAAAAGAAAATTAGAAGATGAAGAAACACAACAATCAAAAAGTTTGAAATCAAGTACAGAAAAGAATAAAGAAGATGGTAAAGTTGTTCAAGATGATCAAAGTATTCAAAATGAATCAGATCCTACAATTTTGAAAGATATACCCAAAGAATTAATCATCCAATTAGAAGACCTAACATCCAAACCAACAACAATAATAACAATGAAGGCAAATAAATACATAAAATTCATACTAAACCAATGGTCTCAACATCCAGATTATGATCAATCATTACTTCTTGACACCAAGAAATCATTATTCCCACTTTGTGTCTCACTAAGAAAAAACAATTTGGATCAAGATCAATTAATTTCATTATTAACTATATTATATCATTTACAACATGGTGAATTTATGAAATCTACAGAAAGTTATATGAAATTAAGTATTGGTAATGTGGCATGGCCTATTGGTGTTATTAGTGTTAGTATTCATGCCCGTTCTAGAGATTCAAAATTGAATAATGGTGGTGCAAATATTATGATTGATGAAAAGACAAGAAAATGGATTACCTCGATGAAGAGATTGATTACATTTAGTGAAGTTCAATATAGAAAATAAACAGTATCTATATAAATTACTTGTAGTGTAATATGAGTCTAGTAATACATGCCTAGTATCCGAAAGAAAAAAAATTGTCTATTAAAATTCATCATATACTTAATATTAATTCATGGAAACGTTACAAGATCATCATTATTCTTGTTAAATTCAGACCTTTGATTATTTTCCAAAGAATTTTCATTTAATGTTTCAAATTTTGAACTTGTTTCACTTGTAGCACTTGTAGGTCTTGAATTTATATTAGAATTTGTTGTTGAAGATTTATTATTATTAACACCAATAATTTCACTCCATTCCATTAATTGGAAAATTAATGACATATTTGGTGATATTTCTGAAGCCCTAGATTTTAATAAATTATAAGAATCATTCAAATTTAAATTTTTCAATTTCATTAATAAAGCAACTATTAATGATGCAGAACGACTTACACCACATTGACAATGAATTAAAATTTTTTCATTTTTTTCTAATGATGATATTATTTTAGAAGTTAATATAGGTAAATCATGACAAATCTTGGAAGTATGAGTCCATGGAACATAATAATATTTTGAATTTCCTTGATTAAAATCAATAATTGATATTTGATTATTTGATAATTGATTATGATTTGTTTGAATTGGTGGTGAAATTTCTTTTGCAACATTAATAACTAAATCAAATTCCATTAATTGTTTAGCTGTAGGTTCAGAATAAAGATATAAATTTGGTTCCAAGACACATTGTGGACCATTTGGATAACAATTCATTTTATTTACATCACTTTCATCACTAAGATCTATACTTGATAAATTATGTATCAAAGTTTGAGTTCTCATAGTGGGAATTTCATTATTATTATTATTATAATCTTGATTATTAAAATCTTGATTATCCATATGTATTGTTTTATTTGATGATGAATTTGAAGATGTTGTATTATTTGTTATTGAAGAATTAGTTCTTTTAAATGAAGGGAAACTTGTATAATCTGCAGGAGTTGAAGGTATAAGTGGTGAAGAAGAAGTTATTGGTGATGAAGAAGTTATTGAAGGAATAGAATTTGATGATAATTTATTTGTTGAACTATTATTTTTATTTTGTAAATTCATTAATTCTGGATCTGTGGGTATTGATAATGATAAAGTTGTTCTTCTTTTCAAAGTTGAAGGATTTGAATTTAATGATAAATTTGAATCATTTTTAGAATTTGATAATGAAGGATGTCTAAATAATCTTGTTGTGGGTAGTGTAGCTGATTGTGGGACTGGAGGCAAGACATTTGTTGAGCCATTCAAGCCATTATTAGGGAAAGTTGAGGATCTTGGTGCTAAATTTAGAGATAAATTTTTAGTATTTCTCTTTGATTGAGGACTAACAGCTTGGTTTGGAATGGAACTATTATTTATTGACAAGTTATTATTTCGACTATGATCGTTGAACTCAGTCACCATTTTTCTTTGTTGAATCTATAACTTCTTAGTATAAATGTCCTTTTATCTTATGATTTATCAGTAGTTATATATATAAAATGTTTAAATTTTTTGGTACCTGAAAATATAAATAGATTAAATGAATCAAGAAATGAACAAAAGGTACTGAAATCTTGGGTAAACAGATCTTTGTGCAGCTGATATCAAATAGGCGGATGGTGGTTATGATCAACAAGTGAAATTCCTCTCAGATATGAGTTGTGTTGAGTTTTGATCGTTGATGATGTTGTTTATTTATTTTTAATTTTAATTTTAATTTTTGTTGATGTGGTTATATTTAGTACCTGAATTATGAGGTTGAGAATTGTGATGTGAAACGGTGATGGCTGAATAAGCAGTGAGAAGTTTTAGCGAGCGAAGTTCGAACACCGAAAGGTGGGAAGAAAAGCACTCAACAGGAGACTACAAGGGAATATCTAAAAGAGATGATGGGTAATGATGATACTAGTTGGACTGGTCAGAGTCTAGTGATACTACTGGTCTTTTCCAGGGTTTTCAAAGCGGTTTTTCAGTGCTGGTGGTTGTTCTTCTTTTAGTAATATACCATATTCGCGTCTCAATCCGAAACTGAAACAAAACATCAACGGTGACAATCAAACTACATCGATGGAATCAAGAGTAACTGCATTGTTCATTAGTTAACAACTGAAGTATTCTTCATCTTCTAATTCAAGGTCATGGTCTGATAAATCTGATAAATCTGATCCACAATCTTCTAATATTCTATCCATTTCTTTTGAATCAATAGGTTTAAATTTAAATATAGTGTAAAAGAAATGAAATATATAAACTTGTGAATTTTGATGATTTCTGAAAAATATCCTATCATCTGGGCCATATGACCCTGCAATAAAGGCAATATTTAAACTATTTGATATCCCATTTTGAATTCTTAAATTTTCAAATTCAATTTTATTTAAAGTATTTTTTAATTGATTATGTGAAAAAGTTTTATATTGATAAGTAACATATTCTTCAATAATAATAAATCCATAAGCAACACAATCACCATAATCATTTTCAATTTCTGTAAATTGATGGAAAAAAAGTTTTTGTATGTTGATTGGTAATTCATTTGAAGATTTTTTTTGATTATAATTGAGTAAATATTTCCAATTTTTTAAATGTTCAGTATATTTCCCATATAAATTTTTTGCTGATTTAAAATCTTCCTCAATATGACTTGTTCTAATTGGTGCACTCTTAATTCTAACGAAAACATATTCATTATCATGAATTATTTGAGGATCAAGATCTATTCCATACTTTTTCTTCACATCATTAGATTTAATTTTTTGATGTCTGAGATTATCATCAAATGATTCTTTAAAATAATTTGGATGATGTTCATGTCTAATATCTATATCAAATAATTCATTTAAAGTCGGTAAATATGAATCTCTTCTTTGTCTGGGAATTATGGGTATAGAATAATCAATCAAATCTTTTTTTGAAAAACATAAACTATCCAATTCATATTTATCTGGATTGACATCTGAATCATCAATCTCATTGACAGCATCTTAAAGAATTGCAATATCATCATTGACATCATCATCATTATTTCCATCAATTTTTTGATTTTTAGAAGCTAATAATATAACTGAATAAAAAATCATCCATTTTAAATTTATACCAGTTGTAGTATTATCAATTTCAATAAATTCAACTTC